TTGCAAAATCCACTTGAACATGACGCTGCTTTTCTCGAAGTTTCTCAAGAACCATTCAAGCCACAGAATTCGTTTTGGCATCGTTGGTTAACCAAGTTAAACCAATTAAAAATGGTAAGGGAAACCAATATATACAGTAAGATATATAGAGAAACCATTTACGTATTTTGCATCTATTTTTTTATAATAATAGAATGTATAATGTATAAAAGTATAATTTTAGATACAAAAAATACATCACCGTTTGATGGTGCCGATCTGTTGAGTGTTTAGTCGAAATAAAAGCCCCAATTAATATTCATAATTATATAATTTCATATTATCCTGTTTTGTTCACAGAAACAATATGTGTGAAAATGTTTTATAAAGTTATTCAATTTCGACATGCTGCTTCAAAGAAGCAGATTAATGCTGATCCCAACTTTAAAACATCAAATAAAAATGTTTTTATCGCAGATCCATAGTCAAGAGAGAGAGCACAGCCCGTAATACAGTTTGCTTCGCGGTTAGGCATATAAAAGTATTGACCTACAGGGTGCAAAGTGGACAACACCGTAGGGATTGACATAGATAAAGACGAAGAAGTAACTAGCGCATTAATGCCATCTTGACTCGTTGTTTAAATGACATGCGTAAGTTAGTTTGATGTTATATGCGCTAGTCTGTGGCGCTAGTAAAGAAGTAGAGTACTGAATTGTTATTGTTTGAAAGTTAGAGCGTGGTTTTGTAATTATTTTATTTTTAATTCTTAAAAACGACTTAAAATGTTTAATAACCGTATTATATAATTAATAGTTTGGCGGCTTTTAAAGTGAAATAGTTTGAGTGCCGCTGTAAGTTCAGTTATATAGACTTTTCGAGGGTTTTGCTTAAACAAAAGCTTCAGGTTATAGAGGATTTTTGTAGAGTACATTTTCAATTGTTCGCTAAAAAGTTGGCATTTTAAAAATCAATTTTATTGTTCTTCTGAGTTTAACTGCATTTTGTTAAATATAACTGAAAGTTGTTGCTGAATTTTTATTTTGTAGCGGTTTCTGAACAAACTCTTTAATTAATTTTAAGTGAAACAATTAAAATTACCTAAACAAAATATTAAATAACATTTTCACATAAAAATCATACAACATACAAGTATAAAAACACTAACGTCTTAAGGCACATGTCAGCAATGCATGTGAAGAAGTGGGTCACTACTTATCTTTGTGCTTTTAACATTTTGAGTCTGTTCTTGTTCATTTTCTTTTGTCTGGGCATTCATTTCTGCCCAGCTAGATTAACCCATTTTACTGCACCGGTTTTAATTTGATTGCTAATTAGTTATTCCTTCACTGGACTGGCACGTTCTAATTTCCATTTAAACCCTTAGAGAGAAGAACATCCTTTAATTATGTGTTCTGGACGGTGTTGTAAATCCTACGGCATATTTACGTAAGTATAAATACCATCTAGCAATAAATTCACTTACTGTTAAAGATAAAGATTACCTTTTCCAATAATTCATCACATTGACCGCTTTGTAGAGCGCTTGTAATCAAATTTTAGTTATACCCATTTCATAACAGCCTCAGCTTTATACAGGGCTTTTCTTTATTGATGCCACTCAGTAGATCTTTTGCCCGTAAGGCCCTGTATACATGCTCACATTGCATTTGCTTTTGTATTTTATAAGGTAGAAACTAGAAACAATGTAACATAACGCTTTGTTTTGCTTTCAGAGTGACCTTGCTGTTTATTGTCGCTATTTTACTATTTGTAATTATACCAGTTACCTTCATGTTTAGTGCAAGCATACAAAAGAGCATAGTGTTTCCCACATGTAAGTGTGTTCGAAATTGCAATATTATCTGGTAAAACGGTGCCGAAACTTGCAAGCTTGAAATGATCTAATTGCGAATTGAACATTTTTTTGCCAGTTTCTCACTAGGTATTTAATGTTTGTGTAGGTTTTAACTTGAAATGCTTGCTAATTTTCTTTTGAGTGCCTGCTAGTGCTAGTGCAAATTTATAATTTTGTGTTTTTAACTTAGAGTTTTTTGACTCTTTCTATTTTGGAAACAAAGCTTTTGCTCAGTTTAAGCAAATGTATGTTGGGGTGTTTGGACAAGGCCTATTTTCCCTGAATTTACGGTACTTGTTTCTGAGACATCCTGCATAATATACCATTGCAAGAATAAATAATGGAACTCAGTTGGAGCCCGATTCGTCCTGCTCTTTTAAACCAACCAACTGTACATTTGCTTAAAGTTAGCGAATTAATTTCACACACTTCAACCTCTTTGCATTCAATCCTCCTGGTCTAAAACAAGAGCTGGAAATCAGCGAAAGCTAACTAAAAGCAGTTTTAACACATCCTCACCCAACCATTCTTTGTAGACTTAATAGATGCGAAGAATTACTCAGATTTCGAAAAGTATGGCATTACAGGAGTGCGAAACATGTACATTGATGTTTCGTATCCCCATTCTGAAAATGTTACTCTTGGCGTCTGGCAAATTTTGCCCATGGAAATCGTCAGCGATATTGTGAAAAATGAGGAATATAATTTCGATGGGGTCCTGTCGAATGAAAAGTACAATATTTTATTGTATCTGCATGGAAATGGCTCAGACCGAACCAATTCGATCAATCTCTACGAACTGTTAAGAGAGTTTTTTCATATATTTGCAGTGGATTATAGAGGTAACACAATCTACTCAAAGTCTAGTGATATTAACTGTTTCAACTAAAATTCTTACCACAGGATATGGGGATTCTACAGGATTCAACCTAACAGACACCAACATAGTAAACGACATGGCATTCATCTACAAGTGGCTTCGGGAGAGAAGTCGAGCGAAGATCTTCGTTTGGGGACACTCGCTGGGCACCGGCGTGGCCACGCATTTAATATCCGATCTTAAAAAGAGCAATGAAAGTGTCGCCGGTTTAGTGTTGGAGGCACCTTTTACTTCGGTTGTGGACGTTATGAAGACTTCTCCTTTAATTAAGGTAATTACTAGCCAGCAGGACTTTTTGCTCACAGAAAAAGCATTTGCTCACATTTCAGTTCTACTCATTTCTGCCCTGGCTTCACACAACAATCTTAAACCCAATAATAAAACGGGATATCAACTTCGACTCGAAAACTTACATCACAAATGTGGACTGTCCCATAATGATTTTGCATGCAGAGGACGATGAAGCGATTCCGTTCAGTATTGCAACCGAGGTAGGTTTGGTCAGACTTTTTTTAAGCACTTTTCTGCAACTTGAATGGTTTCAGCTGTATTATACTGCAGTGAATCACCGAAACTTCACTTACCAGGGCAATGTAACTTACCACTTATACTCCCCAAATGGTTATGGGCACATGTGTCTCTACTTAGAAACCGATTTGCCGCATCAAATAGAGTAAGTAAAAACTTACATAAAAACAACTACAAAAACGTGTTTTCCCTTCCAGTGTGTTCGTTGATCAATGCCTGGAATTCGCTAAGGACAGATTAAGCGAACGGAGTTAAGCTCACATTTTTATATTTTTATTTCAAGTACACTGTAAAATTTACAACGTAAAATTAAAGCAGATACACTGTTTCTCAAATATAAATATCGAACATAAAACTTGTGCCAATTTTAACTTCATGAGATCACACCGAAGTAAAACGATTAGTGTTTTCCTACATCGATTTGCAGCTTATTCCCTTTTTGGAGAGCAGAAAACACCACTGGCTCTGATCAAATGCATGTGCAAGCAACGTTAAAGTAAAACAGAATAAGCGGTAAACCAATCTGAGGCATAAGAAATATAAGAGTAGAGCAGTTAAATGCAAAGAGATATCACAAAGTTATATGACCATAAAATTATATAGAATATATTAACTTCATCACTCATCAGGTCATTTATACATTCTTTTAACATACAGGAATAACGTAGAACTCGTGTTTCACTTGAAAACAACCAGGCTGCCTAGAATAACAAGCTATATAAAGAACCTTTACGGTTCGAATTTACCTCACACCTAATGAAACATTGAAATGTACTGAAAACGATCTGAAATGTGTTCGATTATGTTCAGTGAAAAAAATGCCAAAATATGCATCTGTCGCTCTATATTTTAGTCAGTCTCTTAAATTGCAAGGCTCCTAACAAATAACGATGCATTGAAGTGTGTTTGGGAAATTTTCAGTACATTTTAGACAATATTAAGTTCTACGTTATGGATCAGGCAAAATGTCGATGTATCATATGATTTTTTTCTTACTAACCATGAAAGCATCTAGACGGGACTAAAATCTTAGGGTTTTGGGTATCTAAGGTAATACGTGCTCCCATTTGTTTTTGATTTAAAATCGAGACTTCGCAGCTATCAGTAGAGGAAACAGCTACAAACTGTCGTTTTAGAACTCACATTATTTGAGATTAGAAACGCCCAGTTTAGTGTCCGTTTTTTGCAAAACTGCTTCAACTATTGACCGAAATGGATGAAAAAAATGTGCAATTTTAATTGATCCCGTTGCCAGTTTATAATTATTCTGTAATATTATTTCTCCTAGATCTGGGATCGACATCGAAGAAGAATAAACTAAAAATAAATCAGTTCACATAAAGTTAAAGTTATAATATTTGGTAAATTAGGCAATTAAAAAAATGGAAGTCCTTTAAACTAATAAAGATATATACAGGATTGGGCCGAGCTATATAAAACATATCTTTGCGATAAGAAGATAATACTATTAGAGAGTTGTGCTTAACGGTTATTATCTACGCTTTGATATGAATTTTTATGAATGCGCACCGATATAGTTTATATAACGTGGCTAAAATAGGAATCACTTAATTAACTTTCGTCATAAAAGTCATATTAAAATGATTTCCAATAACTTAGCATATAATAAATACTATGGTTAAACTTAAAGTAAGAGCGTATCGCTGTGTCGGTTACAACCATCTTTTTAAGTAAGGCGATTTGGGATAAAACTTACTTTCAGTTCTCGTCGAATTCATTCCGCAAAAACCAAAACGGGAGCTTTTTTACGCAGTAAAACTGATTAGGTATCTTCACTTTTACATATGACATAGGCTTTTGCTATATAAAAAATTCCTTACAGTAGGTCTTATTTTTACACGAGATGGATTAACATACACATGAATGAAATAGTTGCTGAATGTAGATGATTGAATGAAATGCCCGTTTGAATCAACGTTGTCTTGCCGAGAAAATGTATCACAAACGAATGGTATACGGATTAGTTTTCGTGATATTTTTGAGTCTATGGCATCTCCATGGGTTTGAAACGAACAGTTTATCTTCGAGGTTTAGTAATTATAATATTACTTGTCGCAAAGTGTAAAACTATACAATACACGGTTAAGTCAGCTTTGGGTAAATTGATTACCTTCTATTCAGTTCTGTTTTGATTGCATCTATAATATCTTGCTTCATCTTGGCAATTTCCTTCTTCACCTCTTTGACGATTTCGTTCTTCAGACTATCCATTTCAGTCGGCCCCATAGACATGGCAACCTCAGACAGTCCGTTTACCTTCAGGATGGTTTCCTCCGATGCGGAACCAAAACGTTTACGTACACTTTTCGGCGATTCTGAGCTGAATTTTGACGAGTTACTGGGCAGCGTGTTGGTTTTCTCCCACACTGCCGCCTTTTTGTCTTCTTCATCTTTATCGGGAACCTTCAAACAATTTCCCTTTATCAGTAAAGCAATTTCGACGGGTTTCAGTGGTTGCTTACGTACCTTTTTCTCAACTGCCGCTCGCCTGCGTGCCAAAGTTTTGGCCATTTCGTCCATCATTGAGGCCATACTTCCTCCTCCACCTCTACCGATAGTTCCATAGTTGCTTCCACCGCTACTTGTTGAGGAACCGCTATTTTCCGTTGGCTGTACAGTGTTCTGCAACCAATTGCATTTTTTCACAGTGTGTTTGAATTAATTTTCCGATCCCTACCTTATTATTTCGCTTAAGTTTGGCATTTTGCAATTGAGCCGCAAGCGAATTGATTTCGCCACCGTCGCTGCTTTGGCTTCGCGACATGTTCATGGGAGGGGGAGGTGGAGGTGGCGGAGCTGCCGCTGTTGGCGGTGCCGGAGGACCAGGAGGAGGCGGAGGCGCAGGAGGCGCACTAACCTGCAACAGAAAAAATAACCACATTGAGGTAAAAAAATCAAAAACACATTTGAACAGCTCTAACCAGGCTTGTCCTTCTAGCGCTTACACAACTCAAAGACCGCTTCAAGAACCGCATAATTGAAATGCAGCAAAAACCGAATGACCTCCGCCCAAATTTCGGTGTTTTACTGATAACTTGTGATAAAATATCCGCGTTAATCTACTAGATAATCAATTGCCTTTTGAAACTTTTTGCTTTCCTGTGGTTATCTGGACGAGACTCGAGCAGAGAGTGAATTGGCCAAAAACAAAACAGCAGGAACTGAAGACAAGGACTTACCAAAAAAACACTGTTTCAATGGGAAATGCTGGGCTCAATGCGCCGGTCGGACCAGATTGAATTTTTTTGAGGCACTAAATGGATGAAGATAGAGGAGTATTGGAAGTTGTTCGGAAGGATCTCAGAATATTGGGACAATAAATTGCCATTGCTTAAATAATCCAAGAAAGTAAGTGCAAAAAACCGTTTTTTTGCGCATAACTTTTAAACCGTTGATGCTATTGAACATAAGTTAAGTACTTTTTCGTAGTATTAAAAATACCTACAAAATTAGAAATTTGCACAAAAAACAATTTTTCGCACTGATTCTTGGATTATTGAAACAATCTTCCACAGCCGGAAATGGCGCGCGATTTATTGTCCCAATATTCTGAGATCCTTCGGAACAACTTCCAATCATTTTTACCTTCAACTATTTAGCGCCCGAAACAGGCTGAAACTCTAATCTGACTGGACTATAATGGACAATGGCAAAAGCCTTGTGCGCTGAGGAATGATGCAAAGAAGCGAGTCAAATATCGGCCTTTTTGCAAACAATGTGAGTGATAAGGGGAACAATTGCAACGAGAAAACCCCAAGTGCAAGTAGATTTAAGCCAGTACATCCAAGATGGAAGTTTTGTTACCGTTCTCGTATGCCCGCCAGGTCCGGCTTGAGGAGGAGAAACCGGACTATGAGCGGCCATCGGCATTGCGGGCGGTGCTGGAACGTTATTCTGCGGAGTCATCGGCGAACTTGGCTGCGGAGACATCAGGGCAGCCGATATCCGTCTCTCCTAAAGAGAAACGAGCGCTTAACAACTTCCACTGATCCACAGAAGAAAATTCTTCTTACCTGGATCATAGCCACATCTTCCCTGGTCATGGTCCGGTAGCCCATGTCCTCATCGTACTGCTGATGAGGATGGACTTGCTGAAGCATTTGGTGCTGCGGAATGCCGTGCGGAGGGACCGGAGGTTGAGGGGGCTGCTGAGGCTGTTGAGGCATTATGGGGGCCGGTTGCGGCATTTGATTCTGATGGGCCGGAACTGGGGGCGGCTGTTGGGGCACTTGTTGGGGAATGGTAGGCGGCGCGTATTGAGACGGTTGTGCGGGTTGACGGACTACGTTGCTGAGTACCTGGAAAACAATGGAGTTTTTTCAGTTAACATATTGGAACATACCATTTTTTTATTCTAACCTGTTCTAATGATTCTTGAACTTACCAAATTTAAACCTGAATCACCCTGCATACGTGACGCTTTTTGAGTAAAACTCGACTTTACAACGTAGATCGTCATTTAATTCTGTAGTTTTTACGAACAATAAATTATACCGGGTGTCCCGTAAGCACATAATCCAAAGGGCACTGAGACGTTATTTGGCTCAAAAGAAGACGATCTGACTTAAGCTATATTAAGAAACAATGTGTGGCTCCACTACCATTGATGGCCAAAGTTCTTTTTGCCTTAAAAAATATTTTGCCCCGGATTTTAATGAAACTCGCTGTGAATTTTTTCCCATGTAAGACTTTATTATATATTAATTGATCTTTAGCAATGAAATATTTTTGATTATTGCCTAATTAATTGAAAAACGAGCAACTTACATTAATCGGGGAAACTGTAAACGACTGATATGCCATCGGAGCACAGTTCAAACTGGCAAACATGCCGCACAATACTTAAGACAAAATCAGTTTTACGATAGTATTGACTTCAAGTTGTGAGGTTTGCGATAGTGCCAGAAACAAACAAACTGCTTATTAATATAAACAATGCGCCATAAATCCAATTGATTTATCCGTTTAACTCAGATAATTTGCGGCTGGATACTCACTTCCAACGAATGAAACATGGCTCTAGCGAAACAATCTGCATCCTCTTTGGAGCTGAAGTTCAAACCGTATACTTGCTTATTGTCGCGCCATTGATGGAACGTGGCAGTTGCTTGATTGTATTTCAGGCCTTTCAGTATGGCACAGTTGATTACCACCTGCAATCGCATCGAAACATTAATCCAGATTAAATGAGGCAGAGCAAACCACCGACTTACCTCATGATCTTGAAGCTTCCGGCCCACAACCCGGAAGGTTTGGTGGACTTGGTGCTGATAGATGTGCACTTTGGAGAGTCCGGATGATGTTCCAGATGGAACCCATTTCTTGTTGATGTCGTCGTAGATCATCACGGACGCTCTTGCGCTGGCTATCGAGGTTTCACTAGAAAAATCAAAAAATTAGCCACTAATTCGCTAGACAAAGGAAATGCAAAGCTCATTTGCAATGAACTCGCGTCCTCCTATTTATGTCCATGATTTACAACGGCAATAAAAATGAAAATTAGCACATGCAAAAAAATCTGCAATTAATCGTGCAATTTAAGCTATGACTAGAATAACATTAAATACCTACAAAGCAATTTACTTGGCTGACAAGGAAAGAAAGTGACGCCCTGACCCAATTAACGTGAGATGATTAATAGATACTAAACGTTCTTTAACAAAAGGACTTCAAAACAATGGAACAGCTTAATGAATGCATCGAACAAGGCCCACATCAACCAGCTGAGAAAATCTAACCCATTAATGAAAACAAATTGAAAATCCCCCAACAAAACACTTTGTAGGTATATAGCATGTGCTCGAAATTGCACAGATGCTTGCTCAGTTCCTTCTGGAAACTATACGTGATTGATTGCACGAAGTCCAACCCAGACCCAAACTAAATTCGGTCTGCCGACGACACCAACGACATAAGAACCGTTCAAACTGAGCAGAAAGACCACCCAAAAAAATGTCAAAACCATATTTTATGCATTAAGCCACAATTATGTGCAATCGTTTATAGCCCATTTAATTCATTAAGGCTCTGAAGGGAAATGGGCATAAATTAATTTGTTGGGCGGTCGATGTGGCAACTGAAAATTAAAAGCTGCGAACTTTGTCAATCAAATGGCGATAAAATTGACCAGCAACCATTACTCAACTAATCAAATCTGATTCTAAGAATGCAGTGTCGTTGCTAGTCAAGGCCGCTTTCATTTACATGCATTAAAATCCACTAGAATACCATAACAATTGCAAAGGATTGCTGAATGACTCAATCATATGAACCCAAAGCGTGGCAGTTGCGACAAAAAAAACGTAAACTTAATACAAACTTGAACTTTGAATAAACCTAATTAATACAAGTTGCATCGGTTATTCCATTGTCTCAAAATTGGCAAAATGTGTATTTCTAAAAGAAAGTTGTCTTCAGCATGAATGTGCCCTGTTTAAAGTTACCGAAGCAACTGTGGAAGCATTTATCGTCGTCGGTCGTAAACAACAAAAACAAACTGTGTTTTTAACAGATAATAACAGGATTTAAGTCAACACAAACGAAGGATATCGGTTAAACACCTTTTCATAGAAGCGATACTGTTGTTAAATCAAGGCGACAATGCGATAAGGTTTTGTTATTTAATCTCGCACGGTATCGGAAACGTTTAATTGATATTGAGGTGTCAACAACCCAAAATAATCATTGATTTTAGTATGTACGTACGTACGTAAAATGGGAAGCATTGGACTGTAAATCTTCAAAATATTCTTAGAACCTTGAACGATGGTAAATTAATCACCGAACATTAATTGGAACCTAATTGCGCTTCCTCATAACAGATATTTCGCACAATCTTAAGGTTAACCACTTTTTACTGTGATTTCGAATTTTTCAGAAGTGGTTTTACAACATTAATTAGCTTGGAAATCGCGCTTAAAGTAAATGGCAAACATTTGATTCAAGTTTAGCACATTTTATCATCTATAATTGAAGAACGTTTTAATCCTTCAACATTTGCTACGCAACGAGAAGTGGGCAGATTTCTAGGCGTGCTAATGTGTTCAGACTCAGACACGACCAGATATAACTTTTGATCTAGAGCGACTAGGAACTTGAAATTCGCAGTCAATAAAGATCATTTAAGGTAAAAATCGCTGAAAATTTCATTTAAATCGCATCATCCGTTGAACTTTGCGCTCTTTGTAATCGTTGGACGACAACCCGGACAATAAAAATTCGAAACTTGCGATCCAGCACGAGTAGCCACTTGAAATTTTCACAGTTCCTAGAACAGACTTGAGACTAAAAACCTTGAAAGTTTCGCTTAAATCGCATTACATGTTAATTTTTGATCTCTTTGTATATTTGAGTGTAAATATTAATGTCTTCACGCAACTGCACCTTCTCCAATAAAAATTCACAACTTTCGATTCTGAACGAGTAGCAACTTGAAATATTCACATTGTTTAGGACACACTTGAGACTGAAAACCCTGGAAGTTTCGCTTAAATCGCAATAGATGCTGATTTTTCCGCTCTTTGTAAAAGTGAGTGTAAATAATAATGTCTTCGCGTAACTGCATCTTTTCCAATAAAAATTCGTAAGTTCCGAACCAGAATCAACAACAACCTGAAATTCTCACAAACCGTCGAAAACACTTGATACTAAAAGCCCTAAAAGTTTTATTTAATTTGCATCATCTGCTAATTTTTGCTTTCTGTGTAAATATTGGACCTAAACGAAAAACAACCCCGCCAAAAAAAATTGGTAACTTTCGATCCAAACCGAGTAGCCGCTTGAAATATTCACAGTGTTTAGAACACACTTGAGACTAAAAACCTTGAAAGTTTCGCTTAAATCGCATTACATGCTGATTTTTGCGTTCTTTGTATATTTGAGTGTAAATATTAATGTCTTCACGCAACTGCACCTTCTCCAATAAAAATTGGTAACTTTCGATTCTGAACGAGTAGAAACTTGAAATATTCACATTGTTTAGGACACACTTGAGACTGAAAGCCGTGAAAGTTTCGTTTAAATTTCGGTAGATACTGATTTTTCCGCTCTTTGTAAAAGTGAGTGTAAATATTAATGTCTTCGCGTAAGTGCATCTTTTCCAATAAAAATTCGTAAGTTCCGAACCAGAATCAACAACAACTTGAAACTCTCACAAACCGTCGAAAACACTTGATACTAAGTCCTGAAAGTTTTATTTAATTTGCATCATCTGCTAATTTTTGCTTTCTGTGTAAATATTGGACTTAAAAGGAAAAACAACCCCGCCAAAAAAAATCGTAACTTTCGATCCAGAACCAGTAGTAGCTTGAAATATTAACAGTGCTTAGAACACATTTGAGACTGAAAACCCTGAAAGTTTCGCATAAATCAGATTATATGTTTTTTTGTGCGCTCTTTGTATATTGGAGTGTAAAAATTACTGTCTTCACGCAACTGCACCTTCTCCAATAAAAATTCGCAACTTTCGATTCTGAACGAGTAGCAACTTGAAATATTCACAGTGTTTAGAACACACTTGAGACTAAAAACCCTGAAAGTTTCGCTTAAATCAGATTATATGTTGATTTGTGCGCTCTTTGTATATTTGGGTGTAAATATTAATGTCTTCATGCAACTGCACCTTCTCCAATAAAAATTCGCAACTTTCGATTCTGAACGAGTAGCAACTTGAAATATTCACATTGTTTAGGACACACTTTAGACTGAAAACCCTGGAAGTTTCGCTTAAATCGCATTAGATGTTGATTTTTGTGCTGTTTATATAATTGAGTGTAAACCGGTTACTTTAAGCGACCTTAACCTACCAAAGTTTTAATGAGATTCATTGTTTAAAAAATCCCGCAATATTGCATTTAATATCAACACCCTTGAATTTCAATGAAATATTGCAAATAAACAGTTAGCATAAAAAAAATTAAACCACTTGCAAGATGCGTTGTGTATAAAGCAAAACTTCTTATCAACGGTCAAAGTCTAGGCCTCCCATAAACTGACTCACCCAGTATAATGTATTTTTCCTAACTGGTTCGTATAACATTCACGCCTCCTAATTCAGATTGAATATTTTTTTTTAACCAAGGAACGTTTGTTTCAAGAGGGTTTGTTAGGAAGTAAAAAAATACAGCAAATCCTAATTCAAGATTACTTTGCCCAATACTCCTGCCACTCAGCCTTGTGTCCATTGCGACTTTGCCCATAACTAGAAGCCTCTCGGTGCACTTGTAATTCTCCATTATACGAATTGGAGTTTCGCATGCCATCGGCAAAACTATCAGGCCGACTGGAATGTCTGCTGCGAATTTCATCCAGTTCGCAATAGATCTCCTTTGTGATGTCTTCTAGCATTTTTTCCGTTTCGTAATCCATCCTGTGCACTATTAATATCACAACTATTCAACGTTATCACTAACCGAGCACATTATCCGCGACCGACTCTGCAAAACTGAAGCTCTGTTGATGAGCGGCTAATCGCCTGTTCTACCACTGCTTGATTAACAATTAAAATGGTTCGCCCTCATTATGGTCAACCTGTATGTTGGTTGATATTTTGGAAAAAGAACCGAGTGAAATTTGAACGAGCACCAGCCACTGACTAAAGTTGTTTACTTTATTCGGAAATTGTTCATATCAATTTGGTGGCGTGTAGACGGTAGTAGGAGAGTGTAGGTAAAACCATGCGACGCCAGTCTGATGATTAGCACATATGAGTAGGATTTTTCTCGAGAGAAATTACTACAATGAATGCAAACGCTTGCGTGGTACAATTCACTTGAAGACACTGCTAATCACTAATTCAGATTGTACGCGAGCAGAGCCTAAACTTCACCCTAAGGTTTCGAAAGTCAAACTGGCCCCATTTCGATTGATTTCATGGCCAAGGAAAATGAGTCAAGTGAACTCCATTTATTTTTGTGTGTCCCAGACCCCTACGTTTGTTCCGTCGATCAATATTTCTCCGCCTTGTTAATTTACAAAGGATGATTCAGGTTTTCGCATACCAACTTTACCAAACCAACGACTGATTATTTTTGTCTCAACATTGTCATTGCAATTGCAGCTACACAAGATCTTTTTTATTCGAATGAATCAAAAAGTGCCATTTTGCGAACAGCAGCGATCATCAAAAAGAAGCACTTTTCTTTAGCGTTCATTTGTTTTACTTTTACGCACGGACTTTGCCGCACAGTGTGCGACAAAGTAAATGTGACACTTTGAACTTGCCACTGTCATTATATATTTTTTAGTATTTTTATTTAAAAATAACCGAAATGCTTTTTTAAGGAATTACGTAGGTTTATCAACAACTATTGATCCTATTTTCAAGTTTACTTACAATTTGTAAATTATACCTTTGTTACAAGTTCAGTCTCATAATCGTTTTAATGCCCTACTTATCTACTTTTGCGATGTTGTCACACGTAAAACACGATCTTTTTAAGAAGCGCAAATGTCATGCAGAGTATGCAACATGCATACACCATCCCAAGACCACAGGTGTTTCAAGTTGAAAA